CCTAGTTCAAATCTCCATGTTAATTATATGCAAGATTATGTTATAAAGACAGAATAAAACATCGCTAGCATGAGCAATGCACCTACACGTTTTCAAATTTTAGTGTTGCCATAGAATCAGTGTGTAAAGGAAAGAGCACAACTTCTGAGGAAGGCTACCTGTGATCGGAAGCGACTTATATTTTTCGTTGTTGTAATTCTTGGGTGTGTTCCGGTCTAGGAATCAAAGGAGAGAAAACAAATAAAGATACTACAAAACTACATAACAACATAGCTACATCAAATTTGAATCATGATAAATGGAACAAAAAAACCTCTATTGCATACTGCTCTGCAGGTAAGCCAAATGCATCCCATCCCATTGGGTGCAAAACGTTGTAGCCTTGCATGCGTTTATATCTAGCAAGGATATCTGTAGCAGTGTACCCAAGAGGATGCCCAACATGCAATCCCGACCCACTGCAAGAAATGACAAACTAAAGACCGAACCAACAACACTAAACAAGCCTTGACTGTGAAACTAGTAAAGACTATCATCAAAGCTCAAAAAAGTCCACTAAAAGTTAGCAAAAAATCCAAACTTTGAATCACCTATAGCGAAACACCTATCTAACCTTGGATAGGGGAACATGTCAAGAACATAATACTTCGGTTTAGAAGTGTCGATTTCATCGGGGGTACGAAAAGTTTTGTTCGCCTCCCAAAATTTCTGCCACTTAGGTTCGATTTCGTGAAATGGGTATGCTCTCCTCACTTCTTGATGCCCACTCTCCTTTTGATCGCTCTCCAATTCAACACCTTTTATACTGTTGGTTTTGCTATCACAGCAGGAGACTCCGAGACGGAGGCAAGTGGTTGAGCGACGGCGGAGACCAGGTCTAAATTTGGTAGAGAAGAGCGGCTGCCTGCGGCAAACTGGGGGTGGCGGAGATTGTGGCAGTGGAAGCAAGTGGAGGCGCGGGTGAGTATGAATTTGGGTGTTCATAGTTAGTGGCTGAGGAATGAGTAGTGGTGGTCGGAGTGTGTTTCACGATGAAGATGGATAACGTAGCCGAGGACTTGGCGGTAAATTTGGATTCGGGCGGTTCGGATATTTATCAAACCCGATCCAATTTTATGAGTTTTTTTTTTGCTCGAAGATGGCTTAATTCATAAAAATAACATTCAGCAAGAGTACAAAAATAGAAAGAACCACATATAATTATCCGCCCGTGACTGAGACTGAGAGTTGACCACCCACCTGTAAAAAAAACAGTATAACTCGTTAGACCAAAATCAGGCAACTTAAAACCAATGATGGTTACATCCCCAAACCTAATGCAACTATGCAAGCATCTTACAGAGATTTAAAACACAAAAGAAAAACAGATGAACATAGTATCCGAAATAAAAATAAACAAAACAGACAATAAAAATAACACCATCACTTGTTTTCTTCACCAGCACCGTCATAGAAAAACATGGCGGGTCGCTTTGTATCTCCAGGAGTCTCATCTTTGTCCACTATCTCGTGTTGTGATGGTCTGCTAGTCTTGGACTCAGCCGAAATCCCCCCCCCCCCCAGATCAGACTTCCACTGAACTGCATATCCACCCGAGCTATAAGCTCCATCAGATAACCACTTGTTGGGTCCTGTTGGGCTTGTCTTCACCCTTCCTCCTGCTCTAAGTCTCACCCCATAGGTTTTTTCAGCTACAAAGCCCTCTTCATACTTCAATGGACAGAATTTATCAGAATGTCCTATTATACCACATATAAAGCAAAAGCTAGATAGTTTTTCATATTTAAAATCCACTCAATGGTTCACCCCATCTTGTGTCAAATTGGTACCTTTTTTCAAAGGCTAACGAACATCCAGACACACCCTTATACGCACGTAAGAACTCTGTTTCCCATCAAACTGGCTCATCTCAAACTTAATAAAAGAGCCTAAAAAATTACCAATTTTCCTGGCAGATCTCAAATTTCTATATTTTATAGGGGCATTATGAACTTGTACCCAAAAACTAGCCTCAAATAAATTCATCGATTCGGGTATGTCATCTCGTTGAACAGCTTTCAACAGTATTAAATCACGCTCAAAAAGCCAAGGGTCATCCTCAATCACACGGTTCATATCCAAAACATGATTAAAGTTTAGTAGATACCTTCGCTCGCAATCTCTTTGATAGACATACCTTTCCCTGGTTTCCAGATTGAAGTCATCAACTCTTGGAACCCCGGTAATTTGACCTGGTGGTCGGTGATGACAACCCCAACCACCGGAAAGCCCGCCGGTTCCATCTCCTCCTCGTCGCCCCCCTCTGCCTCCTCATCGAAATTAAGCTCGTTTTCCTGATACTCCATTGACATCTTCTTGTATGAATTGACAATGTCCTCCATGCAGTAACCTTCCTCGATCAAATCGGCTACCGCGACCTACTTCTCGAACCAAGTCCTGTTGTGCGAGCTTCGCTTTGCCTAAGACTTCCCCCCTGCGTTGCTGCTAACTATTCCTCGCTGAATTGCTGAGAAACGAAGATGTAGAGAGAGCCTCTTGCTCAAAATTGATTTAATGTTCTTTGTTCCCAATTTTATGAGTTAAAAAGAATTTTGTACTCCGTATAAATGTAAGGGAATTAATTTATTTATTTTCTAACTCAACTCGTCACCGACTCGAGAGTCTTTCTCTCTTCTCTCTCTCTAGGGTTACCCGACTACATTCGGGTAACGCCTAGCCTTTGTCCGTCGCCAGCCGCCTAGGAGGCCTCGGCCGTCATCGGTGGCTGTGTTTGGAGTGCGGTTTTTTTATCGATCTCTTCGGGGCTTCACCTTGGTTGGAGTTTTGTTTCAGTCGAGGAGGTCGGCGGCAGAAGGAGGAGCGTTGGAGCTTTCGGCGTGGTCTGTCCAAGTCGTCCTCCATGAAAGTTTCGTGTTGTTACGGGGGATTCGTGCTGTGAATGGAGAGTTTTGTATACAAGTACAAAAACATGGAGATTGGGACGGAGGAAGAAGATCTGGATTTCAATACGGAAGACGTTCCGGTAGGGAAAAACAGTCCAGGGTTTCCGGTGGTAGGAGTGCTACTGACTATTGACGTGGATGAGTGGCGAGTGCGTCCCCCTCCCGAGACGCCGCCATGGAGTGCAAACAAGGTTAAGAACGTTCGGGTGCTCGTGCGGATTGGCAGGCTTGGACAGAGTTTCAAGTTAATTTGCTTTTTATTTCTCATTAGTGATATTTTATTTTGCTGTGTGGTTTTTTCGTTGTTGCTGTTACTTTTTGTAAGATGCTTGATTTTGATGTGGGTGATGAGAGGATTGTGGTAACCGTCTTTGGCTCATTTGTGCCCATTAATGGAACAGCGAATTATATTTGCTTCGTTAGAGGTGATTAATTCCGAGTCTGGTTCGTGGGATGGCGGTTGTCAGGAATCTTTTTGTCGGATTACCCATAATCTGAATTATGTGTTATCAATTTAAGCCTATTTCTTCCAAAAAAAAAACTCAACCCAATTTTTCACTAAAAAAAAAACTCAACCCAATTTTATACGGAGTACCTCTTAATGTGTGTCTTTAACAATTTGTATGATTGTTCAGCAAAAAAACAATTTGTATGATTGCTAAGATGCAAAGAGTAAAAATGACTAAACGGAAACATGTGTAAATATATGATAAACATACATTAGAACATATTACCATCGTTTAAGTTGAAAACGCATTTTAACTTTTTAAGTAGTGGGGTTTCAATAAAACACTACAAAAATTATGTTTTGGACAATAAATAAATATGTTTTACTTCTCATTTTAGCTATATGAGAAATGTCAATTAAGTCTTCTTATTCCAAAAATTGCCCAATCAACCTTATGAAGTTGTAAAAAAAACGTTCAAAGCATTGGCGTAGTATGTCAACTCCCAATTTCCTAGTGACCACCCTACGTAGAGGCCTTTTGACAATACTGTTTTTCGGCTTATGACACAACATTTTCCAACACGTAACTTTGGCTTTCGCGTGCTGAATTATGTAATAAACAGATAAAAGTAAGGTTGGAGTTACTTTGTTGATTGTATTGGCTGAAGTTATTGTAGATAACCATTTTAGCTATTTTTACATATAATTTTTTTTCTTTATTTTATTAATAAAATATATTTTAAAATTATTATTTTTCTTAAATCAGCAGAATCGGCCAATGCAGTCACTTCAGTTAAAACTTCATAAATTTTAACAGACTTAGTCAAATCAACCAATTTTCATGCTACCAAACGGGCTCGTAGTGTGATAGTGTCCATGCGGCACTATTCTCTTCATTTTTACTACTTCCGCCCCCTAACATTGGGGCAAAAGCAAGTTGTGTGGTTGTTAAGAAAAAAATGAAATTGTGTAGTTAGTGCTCCCTCCGTCCCAAATTGAGTTGCAAATTTGATTTTTTTTTTTTTGTCAAAATGATTCATTTTATTCACTTAATTATAATATTAATTGTTAATTAAATTTTAATTAAATACATCAATTAAGCAGTAGTTTACTGACACCAAAAAAGAAAAAGAAATTAAGACTAGTAATTTAGTAGCATAATAAGAGATTTTGAGTGAGTGATCAAAATGACCAAAAACGTTATATTCATACTTATTTGGACCATTTGATATCTTGATGCCCAAGATTCACTTATAACTAGTGTCTATTTTGATCTTCCCTTTTAAATTAACCTTTTCTCTTTACCCATTTTTACCTTGCTTGTTTGTATAAATTTTTAACCAAGTTCTAAACAGTTTCATCAAGAAATGCGTCCCATGCATTAATCATGTGTAGCTTAAACACCTTTTGCAAGATTTAGAGCATTTATTTATGAATTTATAAATAAGTCCAATACTTCAATGTGAACTCATTTACTAAACTTATTCTTTTGACCTTTTGAGCCTATTTTCACCGCATTATTTAATTTCAGCGCGTGGGAGAGTTGCATTTATTTGTTTCCTTTGATTGTTGATTTGTTTCAAAGATACACTTCGAGTACAACATTTTAATATAATCCACAAGATTTTGTTAAAATTTGTTACAATATTGTTAAAATTTCAACAAAATCAAACTGCAGTTACTGTAAAAAACGAAAGGAGTGAAGGAAGAACGATGAAATTGAAATTTCAGAAGCTTGGAATTACAACACAAGGTTTTGCAGACCACTTCTACATCATCTATACTCACAGAAACTCAAGATTGCCTACTGCCTTAGAGCTACAGATTCTTCTGAATGCAAAGGCTTCTCGAGTTCTTAAAACAGTACGGGAGGGGTCTATACAATGCTTTCAGCTAAACATTATGGAATATGGAAGATGATAATTTACATTGTGACATTTTCTTTCTTCATTAAGCTCCTAAAGAACACACACACACACACACTAGGTAGGCATATAACCAAATAGAGCATTGATTCAGGGTTCTCTTTCAAAAATTACATCTGGAAGAGAGGGTGAGGAGCCGGCGCTGACTTTGCTCGGAGCAGGCGTGTTTCTCCGAGAGTGGCGTGTTGTGGGGACCAGTATGCCCTCTCGCTCCAATTTTTCATTGGTTTCCTCGTCATCATCGTCATCATCCCCTTTAAAAACTGGGTGAACATATGCATCTTGAAGGTACGCTTTTAGGTTCAGTGCGGGCTCCGTGGCTCTCTCTAGAGTATCTTTCATCTTTGCTTCCTGTAGCACGACAAGAGATATCATCTCAGACCCCGTTTGAAACACATAATATACCAGGAAGGCAGGAAAGGAAGCTTTTAAGGAAGGTTTGGGGAGAAATAATGGCTATTAGTTCAAATCCAGTAATTTTATTTGAGATATTTGTTCAAAATTCGGTTTTATATTTATTTGTTTTATATAAAGACTAAGAAACTTAAGTGAATGAATAGAGGCTAAAACTCAATAATATACTTTAGATCATTTATGGGGAAAGGGAATAAACATACCCACCTCAAACAATGGTAATTTTTCCCAGTAATCCAGGGATTGATCATTTATGGGGAAAGGATAAATAGACCCTTATCTCAAACCATAGTAAGGTCATTCCGTTTTCTTTTTCCCAGCAATCCAGGGCTGCCACATGGCAGCTCACGATGTTGTTATTATTTTATTTTTTGAAAGTGCTCTTTGTATTCAAAGGATCCATATTGAATATTTAGTTATTATATGAGTATATACATTCATTGCAAATAGGATTAATAATTTTCCATCATTTGCAATGGAACCAAAGATTCATTATTTTTTGGCTTGAAAATATGATGGAATAAAGCAAAATGGCTCACTAAACTGTCTGTGCTATGGGTCATCCGGAAACAGTCTCTCTGTGCTTTAGTACAGGGGTAAGACTGTGTACATCCGACCCCCCCTTACCCCACCGTAGGTGGGAGCCTTTGCGGCACTGGGGTAAATGAAAATGATGGATGATGATGATGAGAAATAGGACTAATAACTAATCAATTAATACTCGGGACAACTATTTTAAATTTTAAAAGATGACCTTCAATTATTTATTTTTTGAAAGGGAGCATTATTATTTTGAAGGGGAGCCCTTGGCACACCGGTTACTGCGTTCATTTGTGACCTCAGGTGCCTTTGTACCCCCCCCCCCCCCCCCCATGTGGTGGGACTCTTCCCCAAATCCACCTTGTGGGATCACCTATGTGTACAGGGCTGCCCTTTTTTAACCTTCAAATTTATTATTATTTTCATATCAATTTAAGGAAAAATAATAATCATGTCTCATTTTTTCTTCCAAATCACCTTTCATTGGCTTTTTTCTTCCATTACCTAGTATCCAAATGTACCGTTTAAGACAAAGAAAAATGTATAGGTCCTTTGAGGCAGACCACTAGTAATGCAGAAGCACAAAGTATGCAATGCTCACAACACCTGACTTGGAACACTACGATTTGTGCATTTAGTGGGCCCTAAGTTGTGCCAGTGTACCCCCACAAAATGCACACATGGCAATGATCCAGCAGTTTGAATGCATTGAAGTTTGTTTAGAATCTCATACCTGTAATGGATATTTGGTGAACGCAGATTCATAGCGGCCCTTGCAGTACAAATGAAAGGAGAAAGTTAATACAGGGAGAGCTAGTAGGAATGGTGCTGATGTGGCAGCATGTTTGGCGCTCAACAGTCCCAGTGTAGAGATATGAGAGAAAATCAATGCAAATATGATCCGTCCATGAACTGCTGGCCAGAATGCTGCCGCGCTTTCATACTCTTGGTTGTACACATTAATAATCTGTTTGCCAGTCCATGAACAATTTAGTTAGGTTATGTTTGAAACCAAGAATATGATATGGAAATGAAAGAAAATCCTAAGGGTAGTTATTCTCTTTAAAGCATTATGAATTTATTGAACTTTGAAACATCTTCCTCAACATTTTCTTTCTTCCAAAATTTTCACATACTCTTCTCCCTGCTATCTTTTTCCAGCATTTTCCACTCCCAAGACATTAAGGTCTATTAGGAACCCGGATAACGAAAGGAAAATAAATGGGGAATGCAGATGTAGGCTGAAACTCTGCCAATTTATTTTAGATGCTTGTTGATATTCACCTCTAAAAATTTAAGTCAATCACATAAGAAGACAAATAAAACTAAATATGCAAAACTTATTAAAAAAAACTAATCATATTTTATTTGCACCATCAAAGGTATACGTGTAAAAGAAGGAAAAATTTACCCTTAATTTTCATCTATATAAGGATATTGGCCCTTATTTTTTTAGAAGAAAATATTTTTAAAGTCTAGAAACTAATCATATACTTTGTTTTATTTGCATTTTCAAAGGTACCCTAAACTTTTCCTCTATGAGTGTATTTGACTTGATGTTTTTATGAGAAGCAAATATGTCCTTTTGTTTCCTTCTGGGGTGTAGATTAGCCCTTAATGCCTTAGATGTCAAAACAATTATCCTAAAACCAAAACAAATGATTAATTCCAGATATTGAATGTAAACAAATGACAAATTAATTTGTTTTTCAAAATTTGGAACACATATACTTCCTCTATTCTTTTTTACTAACATAATTTGTTCCTTTTAAATTCAAAGGCATTTTAAATTCATAAAAGAATCTGTCAAATGATAACCTTAAACTTTAGTTATATGTTGTTTATCATTTATATAAATGAAATATCTGCTCCACTATAAAAAATAATTTAAAATGTTAACACCAATTTAAGATTTATGTGGCAAAACAATTATTCCGTTGCATTTTCAAAATCCAAATACACCCTAAATGAACTGAAAATACAAAACAGCGCCACATTCTTATTTATTGATACAGCAACGTAAAAAATGATACCTGGTGTCGATACACAACAAACGCGAGACCAAAGAAAATCAGTATGAAAGGAAGAAGGATCGGAGTGACAACAGCATAGACGAGGCCCAACAAAAAGTATAACTGTATTTGGGGTTCACCCGTGTTGAAACCAATGCTTCCGGGGTTCATTGCTTCCTCCCTGTCCTTTTCAGTCTTAACTAGGAAGAAATTTTTTAAATGGAAGAATATCAGTGGTTTAAGCCTCAAGATCTCCCCAGCAGTTCCAGCCCATCCATCCACCATTATGTAGGTTATGAAGAAAGTTGCTTTCATTGGGATAGCTACACCAATAGTTTCAGGGATTCTGCAAATGAATTACAAAACCTTTAGGGATGTTTAGGTCCCAGAAAATACTAAGAAAAATAATGTTAAGGAAAATTATTTTCTAATGTTCCGCTTACTCTAAAAATTGCAAGTCTTTATAATCTGTATAATGTTAAGGAAATTAAATTACTTTCTAATTTAATTTCTAAGGGAAATTAAATTTTTTCATATATTTAAATTCCCAAGCCTTTATATACTCGAAGTACATAGATAAAATGGGTTTCAACAAGCATTCAAAATAAATTTATCCAGAGAGTTAAGTTCTTAATTTTGAAAGAATGACATTCATGAATTTAGACTTTGTGACAACAAAAATGTGACTATAGCTTCAAATGATTAAATCTATTCAAATTTCTCCTCCCTCCAACATCTAGCCAACTACCCGCGACCCCATCCCCCAGCTGCCCCAGCCACTACTGGCGGTCATACTGACATGTGAGGCAGTGCCAGTCGTCTGTTTGCAATGACATGTCTAGTTTTTCGATTTTATTACTTTTTGAGTCCCTTTTTTAACAATATAAGAACACGGCCACTATTTATGGTACAAGAGGGGGTGGTGTGATTACCCAGAAAAGTGAGTTTATGTTGTTCATATTGAATTGATAAAGTGAGAATAAAGTAAGAATGATTTAGAACCAGATTTGGTATGGGACAATCTTAGTGGGACGGATCAAAAGGGAAATATGAGACAATCTTAGCGGGACGGAGGGAGTAATATTTTAGAAGAAAAAATAACCTTTATTTTCCCCTTAATTTTCATTCCTTCCAAATCTCATCTCCATTTTCCTTATATTTCTGATTCCAAATGGACCCTAAGTAATAACCAAAAGTACAATATGTCGTATTATACGATAGAGAATTGAAAAGTCCAGTATAGTCTTAGACATGAATATGTCTTCCTCCACATTGATGCATCAAAGGTCATAATTGTCCATCATACAAGTGCACATTGAAAACTAAACAGTGTGTAAAAACAAATGAGCAGTTTGAGCTTAAGGCCATGTTTGGAGGGCGGTAAATGGTAAGGAAAATAAACAGTGTGTAGATAACAAATGAGCAGTTTGCACTTAAGGTCATGTTTGGAGCACGGTAAGTGGTAAGTATAGAAGAAATGTGCCAGGGAAAGTAGTGTTTTCATATTCAAAGATACAAATTTGATTAAACCTTACATTTTTACATATATTTATTAAATGTAGTGTTTATATGATAGAAATTGTATAAACACAATGAGGGGTAAGGCTGGGTACATCCGACCGTAGGTGGGAGCCTTTGCGGGACTAGGGTAATGTTGTTTTTGTAATGAGTTCTAAAATATATTTATTTTTTAACAACTCTGAATCATTGGTTTTATTTTTCTCCAGATTTTCTTTGTTTTTCAACTCTCTCCTCTGATTCCCGCTTTATTTTCTTTCTCCAGCATTTTCCAAGTTCGAAACAGACCCTAATAGATATGTTTGAATCCTAGAAAATCCCAAGGAAATAAAACGCAAAAGAAAGTTGCCTTCTTATATTTGGTTTTAACTCGGGAAATGCAAAGGAAAATGAGTTTGAACCATTTTTTATCTTTCCTCCACAATTTTTTCCTTGAAAACATATCCAATATGTTCCTCTGTGCTTTCCCTCCCCCCAGCATTTTTTTAGCTCCAAACCCAAGGGTTTAGTTGAGGTGAAACACGTCCTTCAATTTTGGAAAATTATAAGCATTCCAATTCAAAAGTGATCCCAAGAACCACTTAAGCATATCTAACAATGAAAAGGCCAGTACTACTCAAAAGTCAAAACCAACAAAGCTTTGTGTAATAATGGAAAAACGTTACTTGTCTGCCGACTGATGGATGAATGTGTTCAATTGTTCAAAGGCGGCTCCTGCAATTATGCTCGCAAAGAAGACATTCACAAAGTTGAAAATATAATATCTGGAAGCAGCTCTTCGCTCTAAGGATGATAAACTCAGAAAGCCTTCAAATTTGGACATGAACATCAATATAGTAGGCAGCAGGATGAGAAAAATCTTCAAAGCAAGACCAGGAAGAAACCCCTGAATGAATGATTTGATGAAAGGTCTGGAAGGTAACAGTGGAGTCAATGATACAAATATAGTAGACAATATTTATTACCTATCATAAAAAATAGAACTGTAACAAATTGAATGATTTGAGCTTTTCTTGTTCTGTTTTATATGCTATAACAGAATAGAAACTCACATACCAGGAAAGTTTTGTCAGTTTCAAAAATTGTTCACAGGATTTTAAATGTTTATATCTTATAACTAGGACTAAGCAAATAATCATCAACCATAACATTTAAGGTTTGTTTGGATATATGGGGTTGGAGGGCTGATTATACCTTGATATATACATTGTTTCAGAAATTCAATAAAAAGGATTGTCAATTATATATAAGGTCCGGGGTTCCGGTAAGAAATGAGAACAACCCAAAACGATGAACATTATGTGGCTCATGGCGGTGCACATTTCTATTTCACATAATGTACACTTCTAATAGGCAGAAAAGGTTGCAAAAATGTCCCCGCATTTTCTGATTCATGGTAGCGCGCAATTCTCAAATCTAACGCTCCAGATTCATTCTCATTTCTCTCCTTAGATCGCGTCCTCATTTGATCCAAATTCTATAATATATATATAGAGAGAGAGAGTAATCTTCCTGTCAGGTATACCTGACCGGAGCCACCTCGTTTTGAGGTGGTTCCCGGTGGTATTTTTTGCTCAAATTTTTTGAGCGTGTTCCTCATGAAGTGTAGATGATCTCCACCAAATTTGAACAACAGATTCAATCGGAAAGGCAGTCAAATGATTTTTTGGAAGATAATTTGATATGATGCGGGAAGAGCATGGGGCGGGACCGGGCTTGGGCCCACTTCCGTGGGCTGGTTAGGGGCTGAGTTTTTAATTTAATTAGCTTTAATTATGTTAAGTACTTTTATTATTGATATTTATTATAGTCCGTATTAGAATTCCTTTGTGCGCAAGTAATTCCCTTCCCCTAGGCTTTTGTGCGCAATTCTGTTTCCCACTAGGATAGGTTAGGTACAGTTAATTAGGTCATTTAGTTTCCTACTAGAGCTTGGATGTTTGGAGTATTATTTATACCCACGGAGGCTATTCAATGGGGAGGAATAAAAAATCAAATTTATTAGCTAAAGAAGCTTGGGCAACGAATTCTTCCCGTTGATTATTCTGGGCAACGGTTTACCCCGGTGATTTTATTTTTCTGTTCTTATCAATTGGTCTGACCTGCCGGATCCTGTCCCGCCAAGATGACGAGATCTCAGAATGATCGATTGGCAGAGATGGAGACCGAACAAAATCGCATGAGAGAGGAGCAAGCCCCGACTGGGGGCTGAGCAAGCCCGGATGGCAATGGAGCAAAATTGGATGAATAACACTTTGGAAGATCACGGCGTGAAATTGGCTGAAATTGTCGCCTCCCTGGCAGCGCTGACATAGGCACTGGTGCCGCCGATCTCTCCGGCGTCTTCTTCAGCTGCGGTCGGCAGTGCAGCCGTGCCATCATCCAGCGGCGACTGTCTGCCGCGCATCACCGTTCTGTCCTTGCTACATGCGTTTGATGGGGGAGACCCAATCGGGTGGATTGCTCGGGCAGAACAACAATTTGAATTAAACAACACCCCACCAGAAACAAAGGTGGCTGCCGCTGTGGTAGCTATGGAAGGGGGAGCGCTCTATTGGGTAACCTGGCTGAAATCACGCAAAACCGGTATGACCTGGGAAGATTTCAAGCAAGCCCTGGTGGCCAGATTTGATTCCCGATTCCAAGGAAATAGGTTTGAACGATTGTCCGGAGTTAAACAAACTGGGTCTATGGAGGATTATAATATCTTGTTTGTTCAGCTACGAGCCAAGTTCCGGGATTAACTGACGATCATTACTTGGGCTATTACATGAGTGGGCTTAAGGAAACAATCCGAAGCTCACTGCGATTACTTCGGCCAAACAATCTGGAGACGGCTATGGAATTAGCTCGCGATGTGGAGCATAATCTGTCCGTCCAAAGTGGAGAAAGTGGCAGCCTAAATTATCATTCTTCAGGGGTACGTTCTAGCAGCTTTTTAATGGCAAACACGGGTCCCCCGTTGATTGCCATTGGTGGCAGCGTACAGGGTTCAGGGGGCAGCTTTGCGAAAGATAGTGGACAACCTCCGGGGACGAAGTCAGGGCTGTCCGGGCAGCCTACGACACGCTCTCAGTTCACTCGACTTCCGCCGAAAGAGTTTGCAGAATTGCGGGCGAAAGGATTATGCTTTAGGTGTAAGAAACCATTTACACCAGGACATGAATGTCCTTTTAAGCAGTTGCGGGTAATGATAGCTGAGGAGGATGAAGAGCTGGACCTCCAGCAACATGAATACTGTGAAATAACCAACCAGGAAAGGGTTCAGGAAAGAGAAGAAGAATATTTTCCAGTCCATTCTATGTCTGGAAATTTCAGTTCCCGATCCGCGAGTTTTCAACCTTGAGGGCAAGGTTAATTTGAAGGAGGATGGATTGATATGAAGCGGGAAGAGCATGGGGCGGGACCGGGCCTGGGCCCACTTCCGTGGGCTGGTTAGGGGCTGAGTTTTTAATTTAATTAGCTTTAATTATGTTAAGAACTTTTATTATTGCTATTTATGATACTCCGTATTAGAATTCCTTTGTGCGCAAGTAATTCCCTTCCCCTAGTCTTTTGTGCGCAATTCTGTTTCCCACTAGGATAGGTTAGGTACAGTTAATTAGGTCATTTAGTTTCCTACTAGAGCTTGGATGTTTGGAGTATTATTTATACCCACGCAGGCTATTCAATGGGAAGGAATAAAAAATCAGATTTATTAGCTAAAGAAGCTTGGGCAACGGATTCTTCCCGTTGATTATTCTGGGGAACGGTTTACCCCGTTGATTTTATTTTTCTGTTTTTATCATAATTGTGCCAAAATATACATATAAAACGCAGTTAACTTCCAAAAATCATTTGACTACCTTCCCGATTGAATTTTTTGCTCAAATTTAGTGGAGATCAACTACACTTCATGAGGACCATGCTGGAAAAAAAATTGAGCAAAAAAATATCACCGGGAACCACCTCAAAACGAGGTGGCCGGACGGCGGTCCGGTCAGGTATACCTTCTTTCCAATAATCCTTTATATCAGATATGAACAATCTGATCTCCTTTTCATTTTTGTTTTAAAGTGCTCCATCCAAGGAGGACCGTTACAGACTAAAAAATACAGCTAACTACACAACAATAAAACAATGAAATCGGAATATAATTAGTCAAGTCACAACTATGGATATACTTACACGTCAATGATAACCTTCAAAAAGGGCGCCCTTTTTCTGATACCTTCAATGTTAGCAAGACCTTGGACTGATGCAACAGGAATCATAAAAAAGAAGGTGAGGAAAAAGAATGCAACACTGATTATGAGCTTCCTAATTGTCAATGACACGTATGGAATTGCCAGGTTTTGCCAGTATACGTCACGCGGTTCTGGAGCCCACTCTGTCAACCACAAAGTTGGATTTCTGGTTTGTTGTGTTTGTGCACAAACCGCAGCAGACCATCGAGATTTGAAAGAGACGAACGCTGCTGGCATGAGGGCTTTCGGATCATTTTTCACCCTTTCTCTCTCTTCAGCAATCTACATGTGATGGATATTCTTTCAACAAATGTGGATGAAAACTGAAAGACATAATCAGTAGAAATTTGCCTATGTTTGTTATACCGGAAGATAGGAATATGGAAAAAAATGCTAAAGAAATTGAATTGTTAAGTTTGCTTTTGTGTTGAAAAGTCTATACGAAACTTGATATAATGACTAGAACTATGTAAATAGGTGTAAAAACACATATCTGGAACTAAAAAATTTGTTTTGAACCAATCTCTTTTATTATTTCCCAAATTTTCTTTTCTTCCAAATTTAATCTCGACTTTCCTCCCTATTTTCTTTCTCTACAACTTCCCATGTTCCAAACATTTTACAAATATATTGTTCTTCTTAAATTAAACTTCATGAAATTGAAGCAAGTAAATAACTTGAGCTTAAATAAATATGAAGTATAAAAAATAAATTTAATGAGCTAGCCACTCAGTTTATTTTCCCCAAACTTCTCTATCATTCCTAATTTCTTTCCCAAGTATTTCCAGGTTCCAAATGGAACATAACCTTATTCAACTATCATGATAAAAACAAACATGACAAAATTTAACATCACCAACAGACCTAAGACATCTAAAGTATTAGTAACTATTACTTCTTTGGATAATCTCTCAATCTCAGAAGTTTGATGATCTATAGCATCCACTTTGCTTCCACAGCATCCAAGAAACCCAGTCTGCAAGTTTGAAATGGAACACAATGGAAGGAGTCAGTGATACAACACTGACATTAAAACTCAGTAAGAGCATTGAACAAACTCAGGGGTCCATATAAATTGTTTAAGTTAGATTATTGAAGGACAGAAATAGAAACATACCTTCATCGTGGGACGTTTCAAGTGATTACCCCTAGAATATTTTAACTGGTAATAATCAAGCCAATTTTGCTTACTCTTCTTCTCCTTGAGTAATTTGGCAAGTTTATTTGCATTGCATACAACCTGAATTGATCTTTTGTAAGAACATGGTGAACAATAAACTAAAACTTTTATTAGTATGACTCCTAGCTTAAACTTACATTAATTTCTAAAGGCGGTTACAATGCTTAGATAGAGAAATATCGGTCAGAAACTCAAGTAGGTTTGAGAGATGTAAACAAGAACTTGTCTGGTAAGAGTTATTTGGTTGAACGGATGCAAAGGAAAAGTGTTTGCTAACATCAATTTCATCCAATTAAGTAGATCAAATCTGATTATTGAGAATAGTTTGTTTATTAAACAAAATAAGCCACTTCTGTTACCAAATAGAGCCTAAGATTACTACATTTCGAAATTTACTACTTTCTATACTTTAACAAAGAATTGGTTGGTAACAGAAAATGAAAAGGAGATATGGCTTGACAAAAAGAAGCAGTGCTGATTGCTAACACTGCCAAACGGAACAAACAAATTTAATACCAAATGGGGAAATGAAAACTTGAGGTTGTGTGACTGAAAATCCCAAAATAATAATATGAATAATAAAGATACCTGTTAAATGCATATCATTTAAAATCAGGATGTGTATGGACGAACCTGATTTGTTAAATAATCTTGATGATTAACAAGGAAGAAATGTTCTACGCTTTGACTATATGATTCATCAGGATCCAAAGGGATGTTCCTAACAAGGACCTGTCAAGAGTACAAGTGAAATAAGAATGACTTCATTATACCAAAGGGTAGACAAAATAATAATGCACATAAAAGTAAGAAAATAACAGTGCCAGGTAGTTTCACAAGGTCCATCTTTTTATAAAATCAAGAGAGCATTTAATAGTAAGTTTTCAGTTTGCCCATTTTCTTACTGTAAACTGATCAGGTCGGCGCTTTTCTGTTGCAAGAAAGTGAAGGCGCATCTCAGCAACCTTTGCATACTCGGCCCTCAAGACATAGCATGTCCAGAAGGTAAAAGCATAGGCCATAACAATATGGGCCCAAAACCTGCATAAAACTTTTTCAGTGATAACTTTGGGGAAGCTAATAATAGGTTAATGAAACATTTAACATGGAAAAGGGGTATTTGGTGATGGAATATTTGATAAACATAATATCATATAAAAGCAACAAATCTTTAAAAGAAAGAAGAAGAAGAAGAAGAAGAAGAAGAAGAAGATGATGATGATGATGATGATGATGATGAAGAAATCCAGACCTGAGAGATTTGTCTGGAATATTTGAAATAGAAAGCTTATCAATGTCGTTATAGGTTAACTTAGAATCTCTCAAGGTATGATTGGTCCAGTTTACAGGTACTAGGACAGAAAATGCAAGCAATGCTATAGGAACGAAGATCTTCAGCCTGCAATTAATCAAAATAGAAAGAAGAAAATTTGAAATTTTGTATAAAATAATGAAATTGATAAATCAAGGAAGATGCTAGAAAAGTAAGCATGCAAATCATTCAGTTGTATAAGTCAAGGAAGATGTTACAAAAGAAAGCACACAAATCATTCAGCTATGAGTTGATAAAAGGTATAGAAAATACTCCCTGGTAATCATTCATGGTTTTGGCACTATTACTTAGGTTTAGGGTTTCAGTTACGGCTAATTACTAATTTGTAGCGTCACAATAGTCCTTGGTAGTTATAAAGTTGTAAGTCAACAGTCCTATCTATAAAAAAAGTATGACATCTATCCCATAGAAGAGTGCTAAACGACCAACTTGCAACCTTTTCAAGACTCCCATGAACCATTCTTTTACCTTAGCCCTTTTATTTGTTGGTTTAACATAAACTTATCAGATCTAAGCATGTATCCTGTTACCGCCTCTTTTTTGGATTTTTTTAATTGAGCACTTTTGGGAAAAATTATGTTTGCAAAGTAATTTCTTTTTGTGGACGGATTGAGTAGTGAACAAGCTCATCACACACTAACAACACCAACAACAATAATATTAACAATAATTTTTAGTATACCAAGTCATTAAGGTGCTAACTTAAGTCGGTGTGCATACCCTAGCAAGTAGATCCTCAAATACACTGCAGAGTCTAGTCCAGCATGATCAATGAGTTCAGGTTCGGGCATCTTTAGTGCATCGGGCATCCAGTTCAGAAACCTCACATATGATCTCCAATCCAAATTAACAATCTTCTTCACAAATGCCCCCGAGTGTGAAGGGCTGTTTCGTAAACCCTTAAGATACCATTTTGGGAAATACACTCTGTCATTGAACGGCTGAAGCCTCAAAATTGCAAATGCCACCAGAAAAATAACTGCAGTAAGAATATTAATAGCAGCTGATAGCCCTATATCTGCCAGTGATGCCATTTAGCCCCTGGATAGAAGGTTTAAAAGAATCATGTTATGCCAGCATTATATCAAAATTTGATACCCAATTAATTCAACATTGCCTTTGTAAATATTAATTCAAGTTTCTACAATTACTACAAGAAAAAACAAACAATTCTCACAAATAGTAGTATACATTCAAGGCTCATGCAAAATGCTTAACTTCAGACATAAACGACAACTGATTCACAAACGGCAAAAATGGGGGGAAATCACGATCTTTGTCTCAATATTGACACAGGATTTCAGTTTAATTGAAATTTCCACACACAAGTTTAGGCCTTTAGCAGCAATTGCATACGTATACACATTCAAAACATGAAATTTAACAAAAATAGGGGGTGAGGGAGGGAGAAGTCATTACTTTCTAGAAGAACTACTGTATACTATTCTTCTTCTGATGGCCCAGAGATTGAAATACCAACAGTTCCCGATCGAAATTGCTGGAATCACTTCGGAAATGAACAGAAATCAAGAAGAAACTTGACCTTCCAGACGAACCAAATTATTCGACACAGGAATCTCCAACCCTACTGGAAACGGAAGTTCTAATTCGGGGGCAATCCTTTTTCTTTTTAGTTTTCCCAAGTGAGGAAGAAGGTTTGAAAGACTTGAAATTGAAGTTTGGGCTGATGCGGAAGTGAGACGGGGAGTTGACGTACACAGTGGGTAGATGAACTGGCATTATTATTCAATGTTGCCTGCGGTTAATTTGCTTTCATGTCGGCAAATCACAGAGACATGCTTTAACGGCTATAAAATAAAATTCTGTTCTCTACTGCAGTTTTTTTTTTTGTTAAAAAGTTTTTTTTCCCAATTTTCTTTCGAAAAACTATGAAAATATATCAAAAACCACCTTGAAAAGTTGAGAATTTAACAAAATAGTATCTTACCTCTGAGCATTGGTTAATTTTTTTTAGAAATAATTACAAATGTATGACTGAAATAAAAATAATAGACAAAAATATGTTATCATATTAGTTTTAGTGATTACGATTGTGTTAAACTTTACCACTAGAGACTAAATTGACTATGCATACTAACTGCAGTAATATTTTTGTCCACTAATTATATTTTATACGTAATAATATTTATGACTCGCTTTTTAAAAAGTAATGAAATACCTAAAACCGTACTACGTATCATCTAAAACTATATTTCCATTGTCTATACTTAACAATCCCACTTTGAACTACACACAATTTAAGGAAACTGTTTAGTACTGTTTAACATCTTTTGGCACTGTTTTGCACTGTTTTGTTTACCAAATAAGAAAATGGGGCTTCTTTTTAGGGGCGACCCGAAAGGGAAAGTGAGATGTTTCTATTTATTTAAATGTTTTTTGACAAATAGGTCTCTAAATCAACCGCTTGACTTCAAATCTACAAACCAACACATCAATTTCGGCTGAAAGAGATTCCAATATCTTGCTTTTCTTGTTTTCTTGACCAGTTTTTCACCATCAGAATTCAATCCAAGATCCCTCAAATTAACCATCAGAACTAAAAAAATCTTCAATTTCTCGTCAGAATAGCTTAAGGGTGATAATGAGAAATCAAATTTAGGTATTAAGTAATCGTTACTACATAGATTAAACATTTTATTATATGCACTTGCTTGTACTTGGTAAGTCTTGGTTGACTATCCATCATAGTGGCGTCGCATTTGTTTTTCCAAACCAAAAAACCCTCAAACATGAAAAATGCAAAAAAAAAAAAGGTGAGTCGGAAATATGTGGCAAAATATCATGCATGGGATTTGTTTACCCGGTTGGTGTGTTGTTCGTGTGCTGTGATTTGTTCTCTCGTAAAGTTGTGTGGCTATTGTTTTATTTGAAAATGACTCCTTGATATTGTAGCACTCTCTTTATGGACATGCTTGTCAAGAATTATAGTATGATCTATATAACTGAGGAAGAGAACAGTGGTCGGGTGCTTGCAGTAGACCCGACAGAGAGGGCTTATGTGGCTGAAGAGGGTGTCCGTCTTTCGGTTGTAGTCAGAGTGGTTTCTGATAAAGCCATACGTGTCATTTCTTTTTGTCAAACAATGTCCATGGTGTGACAACCACTTCGAGGAGTTTCAATTGATTAAATAGGCAAATCCAAGTTCCTCCTACAGTTTTATCACAAAGGAGATTTTGAGCAGAGTCCTGTACGAAAGGGCCTTGGTCATGTGAACAAAACCTTGTGGTAATCAGCTGAGTGGGACGTACTGGTAGACCCCTTGAACTTCCACTGGATCGTGCTGATTTTTGGGTTCAGGTGCACAATCTACCGTTGGGATACATGACAGAAGGGGAAGCCCGTGGGATTGCCAACAACATTGGATCTTTAGTGCAACTAGATGAAGGCTCCCCTTGTGGGAAATAACGGTTGGTTCTGCGTATTAGAGATAGTATCAATATCAATGTGCCTTTGACTAGACGCTTGCAAGTATGAAAGGAGAGGAACAAATGGATATGGGCAGACTTTCACTATGAGAGACTCCCAGATTTTTGCTTCTTGTGTGGGATCCTTGGCCATGCAGACCGCTTATGTCCTTTGAATCCACACAGTGGCCCTTAGATTGGTGAGAAGCATTATGGGCCATGGTTACGTGCTTATATGAGGCGCGGTGGAATGCATTCGGGTAACAGGTGGCTGATTCCTAACAACAGTAGGCCTAGTGGCAAAAAGGATGATGGAGAGATCTCGGGTACTTCGGGCAGATCTATAATAGATCAAGGAAGCTATGTGGTGGAAGGCTTTCTCTCGAAGGGAAAGGAAGCTGTTACTATCCAGGAAGAGCCAAGGAAATAGCAGATCGTTGAGTTAGGTAGCGAGGAGGGTGCTCAAGCAAGTATGGATGTTGATGAGGCTAATCCAAAAAACCTACAGGTGACAATACTGTCTAGAGATCACTACCAGTGATAGGGGATTGTTGTGATGTGCAAGAGGAACCTTTGATGGGGGCTGGTCAAACCACTGTCTCGTTACCAGTGGCCGGAAAAATTGGATATTGTCCTTATTTTTCCTTGATTTATAAGAACTCGTCTGCTTTTTCTACTTTTCCTTTTAGTAGCAAGTGCAACATAGCTGTTAATGGAGTCTACCATATTGCGGGGTGAACGAGTTGGGCCGGTATTAAATGTGACTCCAGCTCTGAGTCTCATCCCACTGTAGCCTTTTATATGGGGAATTTGTATCTGGTTCTTAGTTTTAATATTAATTAAGTTATCTTTTGCCAAAAAACAATGTTGTGATTTGAAAGGTTATGAATCTTTATTTATCCTAAAAGAACATAATGGACTAGGGATTATAGGCTTTCTAATAGAGATTGGAAGATCAATTAACTCAATGAAGGAACTTGCAATCAAGCAACAAGGTCTGACAAAACAGGTCTCGTGTGAGGTTTCATCAGGTATCGTGGATTTCATTCCTAAGGTAGAGGAGGATAAATTTATTACAATGACTTTTCTTTCGGAATCATTATTTCGTGTTGATATTGAGCAATCTACCTATTTAAAGAATCTTGGGTGTTGAGTTCTGTTGAGAACGTTTGTAGCACGGAGCCTCTATCGGATTTGACTTGTGCTCAGTAAGCATCGAGGGCTTTTTTAGACTGCCATGACCATTGGAGTGGACTCACTTTCTCACTTTGTAATCAACGAATTTGAGAGAATTCTTATATCCTTTTTGGGTAATCGAGAACCATCGAATCAATAACCCGCTGAAGACGAGAGATTTAACGAGTATGCATCTCCAGGGTTCAATTTCTCAAAAGACCCTTTTACAAGTAATTAGTACTCTGATACTCTGGAGATGAATTCTTGGATATGTTTCAGATAGCGAGAAGAGAACTCCTATTTTATCTATAGAGGATCTATGAGACTACGATATAAATCAAGATACCTGTAACAAGACTAGACTAGTCACGACTCACGAAAGACAATTGCTAACCTAAACATAACCTAAACACACAAATTAAAATGTATTAGCAAGACTTCATTGCTCGCATCTCATGGGGACAAGATGTCAATCTTGCCTTGAATGAGACCTAAGGGGTCAAGGGAGGGTTATAAACTTACGATGATGTTCTTAGGGTTGTTTAGCTTGCATTTTAGTTTCCTTTTGTTATGTTTATCCTTTTCATTTTTCACTTCTGTACCTTTGATATTTCTCAAATAAATTTTCCTTTCCCAAAACATACTAATAAGACAATATTGAAAGAAGAAATATATCTCATCAAGAACATTAGCTAGAGAAGATTATTGAAAGGAAATATATATAAATGGGGAAAGATAATGGACATTGAAGAAAGATCGACTGGTCTAGCTTGGAGAAGCCGCCACATATATATGGAGAGAAAGGAGAAGAATATATGGTAGCCTCCTAATTTCAAATTCTTTTTGGATATTTTGATAAATACTGTATAAATAAATTCTCTTCTATAGAATTTTAAGTCTCTTAAAGCTATGGCCTTTTAATGGAATGCTATTTAAAGGAAGAAAAAAAATAATGATATGTATATTATTATGAGAGATTTAATTATCAGACCAAAATAGGAATAGCAGTTAATTTTTTTGGGCAGGTATAAGATTAAAAAGTCTGAATAGTTTATAACAATAATCGTTAAATATTCTCATTCATAACCATAACTTCGCACTACACCATATATGGCCTATAACAACACTAATTTAAAGTGTTGCTCCAAAATTTTGGGTAAAGGCTACGGTTAAGTGAGTGTAAGACATCATTAAATAATAAGTGTTGCCATAGAGATATTCACAAGTTGTAAGTGTGAAAAATAATCTAAAGCGACAATTCTTTTCTAATAAATGTTGCACTAGAGTGTGTAGAGCTGAACAATAGTCGTAATAGAGGCTATTGCTGGTAACATTATATAGATACATAGTCCATATCTACGTTGTCCCATACAAGTCAATACATTACTGTGATCAATTGATCATTATTAGTGCTTGCTTTTCATTGCTTTTCACTACTCCCCCTGATCATATTTTCTATTGCTTTTCTACGTTGTCCCATACAAGTCAATACATTCTTATGTCACTACATAACATTAATTTCCACTTTCTTGTTTTGATACATTAATTAAAAAAATCATGTTCATAAAAAAATTCAACAATAAATATCATCATCACCCCTATTTTTACTTAGATTTACTTCATTCGACCAAAATCAAAATTAAATACTCTGTATATATTGGTATAATTAGAAAGAAAGCAAAACTTAAAGGGGGAGAGGAAGCTATTTTTGGGAGCGTACAAGGGTCAAAGTGCAGAAATATTTTTAGGTGCTCTAAATTCTCCTATGAGCAATTTTTAAAAAAAATGAGGAGACCAGCTTCTAAAAACGGATTCCCGGGATGTTTTTACTTGGACTGTAGTTTATTCCAGACTAGATCAGACCAAACCAGACCCGTTCATACAAAACCAGACCAGACTTGGATAGTTATAAAAATACAAAGAGACCAGACATTACCAGATCAGACCAGACCAGACCAGACCAGCAAATTATAGTCCAAGTAAAAACATGTTATTCTATTCTATTTGTACTGATTCTAATTCTACTTGTAATTTCAAAAGCATCAATCCCAAACCTCTTATACTACATACTAGCGATTTTACGCGCAATGCGCGAGATCCCATGCCCAATATAAAATGAATAAATTTATAGTATTATTCTTTTCTCATGAATATTACTACGTTTAATTCAAAAGA